AACAACCCCTAAGGTTAGTTTTTGATTAAGTACATGTCTTAACCCATCATTAGTCCTAAATAAAGTGAAAGATATCATAATATGGTTGATCTACTGTTATGGACCCTTTTTACATTTCAGCACAGTGAATGGGAAAGTACAACACTTTTTTTTTTACAATCTTCTTTGCTCAAATTAAATGAAAACTTTATGATGGTGTTGTCTTGACAATTAGAAAAAGGAAAAAATTGCGTGAAACTGATAAGAACAGAGAATAACATCTAATTTACTCTAATTTACTCATGTCCATAGACACTGTTTGAAACACCTCGCACATGTAATCATATTATATAATACATACGTAAATACAAACATATGTTATTTTATTAAAAATATCATATAAAAAAAATCAAGGATTTTAGATGCTGATGATCGTTAAACGCGTCATAACAGTGTTGTGAAAAGGGTGTATTGTTAAAAATAGGTACAAACATCAGATAGAAACAAAAACCTAAACAAACACTTCTATGTACATAACATCATAAAAATACTTGTTTTATTTACCTCCCGCTGCCGTACTTGTACTACCGTGAACAGGAAATTCTAGGAATGGAGGACGGAGAGTTGAATCGATTCGTCTTTAACAGACTGATTAGTGTGACATCAAAACATCGCGAGAACAACAGACAGCTCCGTGTGCATTTGAATCCATCTCGCGATATTGTATCACTTCAGGTACGCGCCTACTGATTCGTTGATTCAAACGAGTTGTGAATCAAGAAGCCTCTAAAGATCCGAATCAAACTGCAGCAGCACGCCACGAGGTTTTGCTCAGACTTGGTACGTTTGGAATTGTTCCGTCTCGTCACCATGTAACACATGTGAGTAAATCGTTGTTAGTAAATAACGCGACTGTTACGATTAGAAATTGTGCATTAACCAGATTATATTTATTTTGTTTTATTTGTTTTTGCGTAAAATTAACGCTAGTTCATGGCCGAATCTAAACGGCCAGCAGCGAATATTTACCAATGTTTACTGTCGTTTACTTTGCACATCTTAGAGATGTTGCCAAAGTTCCTCTGGATTTAGTTTCTTCATGTCATTCCAGAAAGACTGGATGATGAGCAGGTCAGATCTCTGTGGCTGCTGTCATACTCACTGTGCAGACGATTTTCTCCCTGTATACGTTAATTACAGCAAAGTTAATGACAAAAATAATGTTAGGAAATGTACATAGATATATCAAACTGGCATGCTACAGAAAATATCAACACAACCCCCCCCCCCCCCCCCCCTCCGCTACTATTTAAGCCTTTTTTTTCCCCCTCTGCGCTTTAATTATTATCACTATAAATGATCACAATCTCCCATATGATCTGATGATAGTACTTTTGTTTGATAGTAATGTATAGTGTCTATATGGTATCTGTAAATATTTAGTATGTGAAATTGTTGGACAACCACCACACACACACACATTAAACAGCAAAATAAACATGTCTATAGCTTACTAAAAGCCTTTATGTCTGTTTATATATTTTATATAAATGCAGAGCAGCAAGACCCATGGGATTTCATCAGCCACTCACCATCAGAGTCCTCAGTGGAAGCTGAGAAGAGCAGAAGAGGAAGCCAAGCAAGAGATGCCAGAAAAAAAGGGGGAAGGAAATAATGTGTTATTTTGCTGTTTGAGTATAGGCAGGCGCAGTGGGTAGCACAATCGCCTCACAGCAAGAAGGTCGCTGGTTCGAGCCTCGGCTGGGTCAGTCGGCATTTCTGTGTGGAGTTTGCATGTACTCCCCATGTTAGCGTGGGTTTCATCCGGGTGCTCCCACAAGTCCAATAATATGTGGTGACATTGGGTAAGCTAAAATTGTCCGTAGTGTATGTGTGTAAATGAGTGTGTATGGATGTTTCCCAGTGATGGGTTGCAGCTGGGTGGCAACACAGTGGCACAGTAGGTAGTGCTGTTTTCTCACAGCAAGAAGGTTGCTGGTTCGAGCCTCGGCTGGGTCAGTTGGCTTTTCTGCGTGGAGTTCTTCCTGCGCTCGCGTGGGTTTCCTCCGGGTGCTCCGGTTTCCCTCACAGTTCAAAGACATACGGTACAGGTGAATTGGGTAGACTAAATTGTCCGTAGTGTATGCGTGTGAATGGGTGTGTATGGATGTTTCCCAGAGATGGGTTGCAGCTGGAAGGGCATCCACTGTGTAAAACATATGCTGGATAAGTTGGTGGTTCATTCCACTGTGGCGACCCCAGATTAACAAAAGGACAAAGCCAAAGAGAAAATGAATGAGTATAGGCAATGTTAGACAAGACAATATTTGATTAATATGAAGTCTTTTAAAATGCTTATTTATTAAAATAAAGGTTACAAAGTAAAGAAGAAATGTATTGTGTGTTTGTATATTTATTTTACTGCCTTCAAGATTTTACATTGTAAACTAAAGGGAACAAGGAGGGAACAAATGTGGTATTTACCCTTTAACTACAGGTAACAAGGGAGGAACAAAGCTTCACTTTAATTTACAACCCTCAAATGTGGTATTTACCCTGTAAGTACAGGGAACAAGGGAGGAACAATGCTTCACTTTAATTTGCAACCCTCAAATGTGGTATTTACCCTGTAAGTACAGGGAACAAGGGAGGAACAGTGCTTCGCTTTAATTTACAACCCTCAAATGTGGTATTTACCCTGTAAGTACAGGGAACAAGGGAGGAACAGTGCTTCGCTTTAATTTACAACCCTCAAATGTGGTATTTACCCTGTAAGTACAGGGAACAAGGGAGGAACAGTGCTTCGCTTTAATTTACAACCCTCAAATGTGGTATTTACCCTGTAAGTACAGGGAACAAGGGAGGAACAGTGCTTCGCTTTAATTTACAACCCTCAAATGTGGTATTTACCCTGTAAGTACAGGGAACAAGGGAGGAACAGTGCTTCGCTTTAATTTACAACCCTCAAATGTGGTATTTACCCTGTAAGTACAGGGAACAAGGGAGGAACAGTGCTTCGCTTTAATTTACAACCCTCAAATGTGGTATTTACCCTGTAAGTACAGGGAACAAGGGAGGAACAGTGCTTCGCTTTAATTTATAACCCTCAAATGTATTTACCCTGTAAGTACAGGGAACAAGGGAGGAACAGTGCTTCACTTTAATTTACAACCCTCAAATGTGGTATTTACCCTGTAAGTACAGGGAACAAGGGAGGAACAGTGCTTCACTTTAATTTACAACCCTCAAATGTGGTATTTACCCTGTAAGTACAGGGAACAAGGAGGGAACAAATACTGTATTCACCCTTTAACTACAGGGAACAAAGAGGGAAGAAGCTGAACTTTAACACAATAGTGTATACTTGAACACTAAGAACAGAGTAAACTACAGCAACAGTTTTTATTGATTGGAGACCAAATTACTAGATTTTTCTATAAAGCATCAGCTATACATTTACTGAAATGCAACAGTTAGCCCCCCTGTGCAAACAGCAGTAAAGATGCGAGCCTGTTTTAATCTACATTGAATCCTGACGGTAGGCCTATATCATGCATAGTTATTTGTTGATAGTGAGTTATGGAGACATTGATGGCTTTGGTGAGATCGACGAGTAAACATAAGGTAAGTAGTGTATGAAAATATATTTTATATTGAATTGCAGATTTAAAATACATACAGTATACAAGGGTTCATAATTTCACAGGCTGTAAACCTTTTATTCATTAAACACCCCAAATAAAACCCAAGCACTGAATATGAGTACTAATGTACTCACGCAGGTGCATGTTCAGTACATTTGCAGATAGCAATAGGTTGTCGCCATCCTTGCATAATTCTTCATATGTATACAATACTTGAAGAAAAGTACATCGTAAACGTAATATACTTACGCGGTTCTTTGCGTGATGAATATCTTATCGTTACTCCCCTATTACGCATACATTATGGTTTGTTCTTTTGCAATTTAAAAAAAAAAAGTACACTGTTATTTCACTGTACTTACGCAGTACTTTTCATGCTGAATATCTGGTTGTTACCCCCTTATTACCCAAGCATTACAGTTTGTTCCCTTATACCTAAGTAAACGTTATTTATACTTACACTATACGTACAGAAAAGTACACCGTTATTTCACTATACTTACGCGGTAATTTTCGTGATGAACATCTGGTTGTTACCCCCTTATTACCCAAATATTACGGTTTGTTCCCTTATACCTACACATACGTTCATTATACTTACACAGTACGTACAGAAAAGTACACTGTAATTTCACTGTACTTACGCGGTACTTTGCGGGTTGTAAAAGAAAGCGTTACCGTGAGTGCTTGGTGACAGGAGGAGGAGGGGAGAAAGGAAACACGATTTACACATTTATGAATAATATTTTAATGACATCTGCTGAGTTTTTGTACTATCTGTCTCTTTCTCAGCTCGTGCGGGTATAGTGAACGGCAGGGAGGCAAAACCTCACTCCAGACCTTACATGGTTTCTGTTCACATGAATGGGGAGCATATCTGTGGTGGATTCCTCATTTCTGAAGAGTTTGTCTTGACTGCTGCACATTGCTGGAAAAAGTAAGAGTTTTGTTTAGTGTGAACTGTAACGTTGAGTTACCGACCAACATCAATGACTGCTGTCTAATCATACATATTGCCAATTTGTTCTTTCAACAGAGGTGACATTCTGACGGTTGTGGTTGCGGCACATAAATTGAGCGAAAGCAAGATTTCAGACCGCTTTAGAGTAAAGTCTTACATCCCGCATCCAGACTTCAAACTGAAACCTGTTCTGAATGACATCATGCTTTTGAAGGTACTGACATTTAGTTGTTCAAAATGATATCTGATCAGGTAGCTTAAACCGCTGTGTTAGATTTGAAGATTACAGTCCTACAAAACATTATTTTCATCTGCTAGTCTATTTCCTACGTCATTTATTAGTGTCTGTAGAATGAAACATATTTTTTATTCAATTTCTGTAGTTGTCAAAAGTTTAACAACCAGACTATATTTGAATGAATAATAAATGTGATTTTGCATTACAGCTGAAAGTGAAACTAAACAACAATGTTGGAACAATATCATTACCAATGAATGGAGAAGATGTTAAAGCGGATACTCTCTGTAGTGTTGCTGGCTGGGGAAGTGTATGGAAACTTGGTCCAGCAACTGATCGTCTAATGGAAGCAAACACATTTATAGTAACTAATGCAAAGTGTGATTATAGATGGGGATTTAATTATGAGGCCTCACAGATGATCTGTGCACATGGTCATGGTGGATCCTGCCAGGTACGTATGAAAGATGATTATGCTTTGTTAAAGTATAAATGTATTCCACTAGTAGCATGTTGATCTGTGTTTCTTAACAGGGGGATTCAGGGGGACCTTTGGTTTGTGGAAACACTGCTGTTGGAATAACATCTTTTGGTAACCCTTTTCGCTGCAATTCATATTTGCTTCCTAATGTCTATACCAAGATTTCAGCATATCTTCCATGGATCCACAGTATTATAGACAATTGTGAGTGATTTATGGAAAATGTATAAAAGGTAGAAATGTTTTTCTTGAGTTCTTCCATGAACCAATAAAAGTATCACATGGCATTCATTAAATCGCACTGTGCTTTTGTCAAATTGTGTTTAAAATCATTCAGCACTGTAGGTTAATTGGTGGCCAGACAAGTCTGATTAAAATGACTTTCAGAGTAAAGTAGTGAAATAAAGAGCTTGGTGAAATCTTCCTGTATAAATAATATATCAAATATATATTACATTTTTGATAAACGTAGCCAAGGAGACAATCCTAGTTCCCCCATCCCATTAAACATCCAGACAAAAGTGCTTTATAAAATGTGTTTCATCTACTTTCAATAAACTCTAATATTATATATCATGTCTTTTAGGTATATTCTGTCTTATCTGTTGTGGAGCCATGTAGACCTAAAAACTGAGAAACAAAGAGATCATTTGCCCTACAATTTACCTGAACATTATTCAGGTCACTTGACCATACCCCTATTTCTGCAGAAGGCGCAATGAGATTGCGCAGCACTGTTAAATTACCTAGTTGGGGACTATTTTCAGGCACTGCATAATATCACTGTGCCTGCTGCAGCCATGGTACAACAAAAGTTCCTTGATTATTATGGCAGAATGAGAATATAGCTCCTAGTCAGCCTAGAAAATAGTACACCATGAAAATCCACAATAGTCAAGCTTTACATAGGAAAATGATATCAACTTTTTTTTGTGAGATGCTAATGATCTAATGCGATTCTATAATCTATGCTAAGTGTAGTAGGTTGGCCCTTTAAATGCATGCGTTGCGGGCTATACCACGTCAAGGCTTTATAGGAGCTGGTGAGCTCTCTGTCTCTGGTTGGCATTTTGTTGTTTAGACCTGTTGATGGGATTCTCTCCCGGAAATTAACTTGATTGTGCACAGCCGGTTTTTGTGTATAATGCAACCCAGGCTCATTCTGAAAACGCTGTTTCTGGAGACCGTGAAATACGTCCAAGGAGGTACGTGTTTTTGCAGTTTTTGTTTTCGCGAATCCACGAGAGGTCACTGTGTGTGCTTTTTAGTTTCTCAAATGTCTCTTGCGAGTGTCGTTTGTGCCCGTGCTGTTCTCGCGTAAACCCACCAGAAGCCGCTGTCGACTGACTAAATGACTGAATGATTGACTAGGTGACCGGCCAATCGACTGACCCACCCTCCTCCTTCCCTAAACCCAACCAATTTTGCCATTTGGCCCGCCCACCCTCTTACTTCCCCTGAACCCAACCGATGGTTTACAAAAGCTGTCCAGAAAAAGCACTCATCTAATTTTTACTACGTTTTTGGATTTTACCACATTCTCACCCTGTTATAAACTTGTTTACTTTTTTTTTTTTTTTGGATTCTGTTTTTGTCTCACCTGATTTCTGGAACTGCTCTTCCTCGGACTTGAACCCGGTTGTTGTCCTTGTCAACTCCTCTCTGCATCTCAAGTCCGTCGACGTACACGACGAGCTAACTGGACAAACTGGTTGCCGCGAGAAAGCCCTCCACACAGAGGTAAATGGTCAGCCGGTAAACACCAAAAGGAACGGCATCATACCGCCCTGTAGGGTTCGCTTAACAAAATGAATTACAGCCATACGTACCTCCGGCTACATAATTCGTGGTCTTCAGAATCGTCCACAGGACTACGTTTTCAGAATGAGCCTGAGTTGGTATAATATAAAGTTCATTCCAAAGAGTCTGCCAGCTGCTGCTTTGTTGTAACTTGAGTGGCATCTGACCTTATTTGGAAGCGGTATTTCCATGTGTTCGTGTATTGAACTTCAGACGCAAGCACCTCAGAATCCATCATTGGTGGTCAAATCCATGTGTGCTGCCTTTGAATGATTTACACAGGTCCTCAAACCACCTGCTCATGTTGCAGTCGAAAAGCATCTTTAGTCTAGTGTGTTTGTTACTTTCCCTGAAGTGATGTGATTTTTGTATGGAGTGTTATTTCGTTTTCTATTTTTTCCCTTTGTATGCGTTGTTGTTGCTATTGTTGTTATTATTTTGAGAAGTTGGTGTCGTTGTTATGATTGTAGGGATGATGTGACATTACTTGTTTATTGGTATTGCCAAATTAGAACCAAGGGTTTGGTGTGAATTTGATATTTTGAATTGTGTGGTTGGTGGTGTATACAATTTATTATATTTAGTTTTTATGGGTTTATGATTTTGTACTTAATGTTTATGGATCATATATGGTGGTCCCTATTTGGGTATTAAAATATGCTGGAGTGAGACACATTGAATAACAGCAAAGAATAACAACTTCTAACTAATCTCATTTTTGTTTGGTTTTGTGTGGGATTTATATTTGTATAGGTGTCCTGGTGTTTTTGTAGATATTGTTTTGATGTGTTTTTCTTTCTTGTATTTTTCTGTTGTATTTTGTTCTAGTTTGTTGATTGTTCTTAAATCATACTAAACGTTTACTATTTAAGGTTTGTCAAGATTACCTAAATGATTTACATTTTCTGAATGCCAGAATATGGCAAAGCAGTGGCGCAGTAGGTAGTGCTGTCGCCTCACACCAAGAAAGTCGCTGGTTCGAGCCTCAGTTGGTGTTTCTGTGTGGAGGTTGCATGTTCTCCCTGCTTTCGCCTGGGTTTCCTCCGGGTGCTCTGGATTCCCCCACAGTCCAAAGACATGTGGTACAGGTGAATTGGGTAAGCTAAATTGTCTGTAGTGTATGAGTATGTGTGTGGATGTGGATGTTTCACAGAGTTGGGTTGCGGCTGGAAGGGCATCCGCTGTGTAAAAAACTTGCTGGATAAGTTGGCGGTTCAATCGGCTTTGGTGACCCTGGATAAATAAAGGGACTAAGCCGACAAGAAAATGAATGAATAAATAAATGAATGCCAGAATAATAAGAGATTTTTTTTTTTTTGGAGAATTTTTATTTTATTTTTTGATAGTAAAAATTTTACATACATTTCCTTGGTATTTTTTTAGCTTTGCTTTTAAACTGTATAACTTTGGTCAAATGTTTTGGGTATCCTTCCACAAGCTTCTCACAATATTTTGAAGGAATTATGGCCCATTCCTCCTGACAGAATTGGTGTGACCGAGTCAGATTTGTAGGCTGTCTTGCTCGCACAAGCTTTTTAAACGCTGCCCACATAATTTCTATAGGATTGGGATCAGGGCTTTGTGATGGCCACTCCAAAACATTCATTCTGTCACTCTAAAAGCACATTTTAACTTATTTAGCAGTATGCTTAGGGTCATGGTCTGTTTGGAAGAACCATTTTTGGCCAAATTTCCTGGCTGATGTCTTAAGATGTTGCTTCAGTATTTCTACATATTCTTTCTTTATGTGTAGGCTTGTAAGCTTTCCCCTTTGTCATCCAAATGTAACACTGGTCATTATGGCCAAACAGTTCAATCTTACTTCAATCAAACCACAGGACATGTCTCCAAAAAATATTCTTTTTCCCAGTGTAATTTAGCAAATTGTAATCTGGCTTTTTTGTTGATTTTGGCTTGTTGATTTTTCCATGTTGTCACAAAAGGAAGCAGTGTGTTTGAGGTTTTCCTTAAATACTATTCTACAGTTGTGCCTCCAATTAACTTAAATGTTGACAATTAGCCAATCAGAAACTTCCAAAACCTTAACTCCATCATCTGAGCTTTTTCAGAGGCATAATAATCTTATTATATGTAAACTTGACTTTTAGTCAAGAAAGTTATAAAAATTCATAAAAAAAATATCCCTTTCTTTATTCTGTTATTAAGCATAACAGAAACACATTTAATAATCCTAACTTACCTAAAAGAGAAAATGTTAGTTTGGTTATGTGCCTTTTTACACAGTGTATGTAAACTTCTGGTTTCAACTGTATATTTGTATAGACTTTTGCTTATCGTATTAATCTTGTCTTTATTATTATTTGCCTGTGTTTGTATTTTCTTTTTGTGGATGGATGTATTTTGTTCTAGATTAATAATGGCTATACATTGATCCATTATCTACTTGACAATTTGTAGGGATCATGCTTGAAGATTAAGGAGTTAAAAGGGTACAGAATTGGGAAAGTAACCTTAACTGGGGATTTTGTCACTAGGAAAATTGGTCAATTATAGAAATATTTTCATTGTGATGTTGCGCTCAATGTTTTAAAAAGTAAATGTAAGAAATAAAATTGAGATCTTTTTGAAAACTGATCTAACTCTGTCCATTAAGTTGGAAACTTACCATTGGGGAGACCATCTTGGGGTTTGATCTTAGGGGCCTGGAGGGCCGTATCCCAGCCCTTTTACATAAGCTAAGCTAATAGTGCTCACACCAGACCACAATATCAGTTGTGTTTAAAAAATGGTTAGACTCGACTGTTTAACTCTTGGGAAGTTGTAAAATGAGCTCATTTAAGTGGAGTGTTCTTTAATTTAGGAGTCCTAAACTGCAGTGGCCAAGCAAAACTGAAGAGAGCAGAGTCATACCGTACTGCAAAATGGAAAAAGCAGCATTGGTGTGTGGTCTTGGTGACTGAGTCAGATTCATTAAGCTACCAGAAATGACAAGAAATATCAGCCAATAATTACATCAAACATAGAGAACATTAAGAACAAGCATAACACCAATCAAAAGCCACACCACGGTGTGAAAGAGGAAGTACATGAACTACCTAGGGTAAACTTGCCCACTTTACTTTACACACCAACCATCAAACCAGAGAAGAACATCAATAATCCGTAGCAACCTTCTAACACCAGCATCATGATCTTCTCTGTGCTTTTGCTAGTTTATCTGCTACCGAATCTGACCCTTCAAGGTAAGTGTGATAAAAAAATAAATAAAAAAAAATCGATGACCTTTAACCAATTATGTCTTCTACATTTAACGTAAATGTTAAACTTTAATGTTCACTATATTAAGAGACATTTGTCCAAGTCAGATTGATGTTTAACCAACCTAATTTGACTTTTCTCTTAGCATCTGTGAAGTCTGGCATAGTGAACGGGAAGGAAGCTAGACCTCATTCAAGACCCTACATGGTTTCTGTTCAATGCAATAAGAAACACATATGCGGTGGCTTCCTTGTGTCTGACCAGTTTGTCATG